AGCTGGTTGTTGGGCCCAGCTGTATAATACTATTGACAATAATTATGCCATTATGTATGTAAAAATGTTTAATCTCATATTTATAATTTAAATGTGTAGAGACGAATTCATTTTTTTTTTTTTTACATTCTATAAAAAACATTCAAACTATTTTTTTTTTTAATTAAAAAAAAAAACAAACACAAAAATTTTTTTTTCAAAAAGGAATTTATGCCATTATGTATGTAAAAATGTTTAATCTCATATTTATAATTTAAATGTGTAGAGACGAATTCATTTTTTTTTTTTTTACATTCTATAAAAAACATTCAAACTATTTTTTTTTTAATTACAAAAACAAACACACACACACAAATTTTTGTTGCAACAAGGAAGGGAGGGGGGTACACTATTTACAGTGAGTATAAATTATACAATAAATAAGGAAGTGTCAGTCATTTCAAAATATTATCACACAGCACAAATTTATACATTCCATATTTCCATAGAGCTTAAAGCAATGACATCACACCAAAAGAGATTACTCTCATGTTAAAGAAAGGATAAACAAAAGAAAGAACAGTTTCAGCTCAAAATCAAATTTGATAGATCAACTTTTAAAGAAATGAAAACTAAATTAAATACAGAGATGTACAGAATGGTGACCAACACCGGAAATAGACATATTTTAATGAAATAATGTTTTTACTTGATTCTCACTTGACACCATAGATCGACATTTGTGTAGGTGAAAACTGGTGCAGGAGGGCGATCTAAAGTGATATTTAACATTATTATGACTAGTCATGACAATTTTATTATTTTATTTCCATTTTCATTGTTATAATTATAATATCTGATAAAATAAAGAAGTCTATATTTTTTTTTCCAATTTAAAGATGTGCAACTGCCATTAAAATAAATAAAATAAAATCACATCGGAAATTGTGTTCCAAAATGCCGTTATAGGGGTAAAAAATCAAACTTTCATAATAATAGATTTAAAAATAAGATATTGCTTAAGAATACTATTAGTCTAATTAAGAGCTCCTCACAGACAGTCAACAATTAAATAAACCAACCGACATTGTCATTGACATAGTCAGCTGCATAGTCTGTGACATGTCAGCGACATAGTCAGCTGCATAGTCTGTGAAATAGTCAGCGACATAGTCAAGGCTCATGGTTGAGGGGTATAGGCTAAATTTTTTTAAAGCTTCAGAAACTGAAAGCCTTCACTTCAGCAATTACTTGAAATTAGTCATTTCTTTTTTTAAGACAGCTTGGTCAGATGATTTTAAAAACACAAGATTCCTTTTCATTCTTTTAAACCAAAGAAACAAGTCACTTTCTTTTATCATAGTTTTAAAATAAGTATGATACTTTAAAAAAAGCAATATAAATACAGTTTATTTTATAATTATTATTTTGGTTTTCTTGACTTCCCAAAACACACCACCCAACCAATACTACCCATAACACTTTTTTGTGTGTTTTCTTTAAACTTGCCAATCCTCTAAAAAAAATGTAAAGTATAAGTTTTGAAACAATTTTTTAGGATATATTAAAAAATTAACAACACAAGTCATTTCAACTCATACATGAAAACAAAACAGCCTTATAAAATTGCTAACTGCTTTAAGAGTGTGGGGAAGGGATGGGTGGGTGGGCTGGAGCAGATTGTGAGGAAATGATAAAGATAATCCATTGTATAATTGAATTATAATAATCGTCAACAGCCCCCTACACAGATAAGCCTTGCATGGAGCCTCTGTTCAGTTACAAAGAAATGTAATGGCCCATACCCTCCTCCTAACTCTTAAGTTATTGCTTGCAAAATATGTTAAAAAAAAAAAAAAAAAAATTAAAATCACAATGTGTTTTCATGAAATGCAAGAACCAGTTATAAATAGTAATTGTACAATAATAGTAATTACAATAAATATTTCAAGTGTTGCCTTGGTAGTATAATACACACAGTACAGTTATAAGCAGTGATTATCAATGAATTAAAAGTTTAAAAAAAAATTCATTATTTGTGAATGGGATAAAACAACAAAAATATTGTTTTTTTTTTTTAAAAACTGTTATCTTTCTGTACAGTGTAATATTCTTTCGTCCTATCCCAAATATTCAAATCTTGTTTACTCTCTTTCTCTATCAGTACCTTTCCCTGCCTCTCAGTCTCATATTCATCTTTTTACATGCTTGCACAGTGACAATAATATCAACGTTCATTCCAGAATCCCTATTATTGATGAAGTAATTGATTGCTTTTTCTATAAGGATTTACTAACTGTAAACTGTAAACAAAGCATTCTAAAAATATTTTTTTAAAAAATAATTTTATTTGTATCATATTAAAAGATAATTATGAAATAATAAACTGATTTTTTTTTTTTTGTTTGTTAAAGTAAAGACATTTCTCATTAAGTAAATACTAATCTTTTTTACTAGTTAACTGGAGGATACTTGCCATCTGGCATGTGGAAGCTATGAAAAAAGACCAAGTTTTAAATCAAGATTTTTTTTTTCTTTATGGCTCAGCTTTTTCGACCCCAACTAGAGTTCAATTAGCAAGGTCATATAAGGAAAGAGGTTTTTGTTAAATTTAAACCCATTGGGTCCTCAAACTACAGCCCGCTGGAAAGATCCCACTCACCAAGTGTCCTTAATACGGCCCGCTTGGCCATCGTAGGCTAGCAGCGACAAATGTGAAACTAAACATTGATCATATCATAAGCCAAACTTCTCTTTGAAATACAAATCAAGTTTACACTGGGGTATATTGTTTCTACATTTTTACATATGCCACTTTTACCTTTTTTTTCAAGTTTTGTTTTTTCTGGCTACAAATGAAATATGTGCAGTGGGCATACAATTTTTTCAAATTTTTTCAAACTATAGTCCAGCCTCGACAGTGTCCAAGGACACTGCCCGGCCCCTTGTTTAAACAGTTTGGGAATCCCTGGTTTAACACTTGGTATTTGGAGAATTTCATCTTATTTCTTAACAAACATATCTAGAATATTGCCATTGTCTCATTGCACAGTGTAGGAAGAGTGGGAGTAGATAGAGAGTGGGGTGGGGTGGGGGGGGGAGTTTTAAAAAATCAATATCTATTACTATTAGCTACAAGAAGCAGATTGTTATTGTTAAGTGGGCCATCCTGGGGAGCCGCTCATTTCACAAGTTATAATATTCACTAGTAAGGTTATTCCTCTTTTTTTTTTTTCATTATTTTATAAACTTCTAGAAAATAAAGCATTAAAACTGACATTTCGAGCCTGCACAAGGGGAAAAAAACCACATCTTTAAACAGAAAATTACACAATGACAAAATTGTCAGGCAAACCAACTACAATCAATCCATACAACAATGCATCTAATCTGCAACAGTTTTGTTCACTCAGCAGGCAATTTGCATATTTATACATATATATTTATATTATATATATGTGTGTGTAGACCTGTCATACATAATACGTTTATTAAGGATTTGTGGGTCAGCTTGGGCCACAAGGATTAGCTTTATTACATTTGGACATGTAAGGGGGTATTTTTTTTTTATTTGACTGTGTTAAAAAAAAAAGTATACAATATGTCATAAATAATTCCCGCTCCACAAAATCTCAAAAAAAAAAAAATAAAAAAAAAAATGGGGTATTTTTTTTTTATTTGACTGTGTTAAAAAAAAAAGTATACAATATGTCATAAATAATTCCCGCTCCCCCACATCTCAAAAAAAAAAAATGAAAAAAAAAATGCACCCAATTTAACAAAGGAATACCACCACTCAAATTGCATGTTTTCCTTTTTGTTAAAGTTTGCCACTAAGACATTGCCCAATAAACAAATCTTAAAATGGGAATATCATTGCACTTAAAAAAAAAAAAAAAAAAAAAAAAAAAAAAAAAAAAAAAAAAAAAAAAAAAATAAAAAAAAAAAAAAAAAAAAAAAAAAAAAATTGTATGACAATAAAATTATGGACATTGGAGTAAAAGAGAGAAATGACTTACACAAACTTGACTTTCAGAATCACACAAAGTACCTGAGGTAAAGTGGCTCTTGGAAAAAAATGACAAGCTAATAAAGTGGATATTGAATTAATGAAATCTTTCAAAGGGGGTAGAAGTTATTTGAAACAACACTTACGGTATGTGACAGGGGCTCTTAAACTGTGAGGTGTAACCTGGATGCTAAGTGCATAAATGTAATCATACATATATTCTGTACTACCATGCTCTTTTGGTATCATATACCTGCTCATATTTATACCAGAAGAGTACCCTTTTTTCCCACTTAGAGCTTAAAATAATGGATAAGTATTTAAATTAGCATGAAAGAAAGTTTAAGAACCCCTGGAGTATATATAAAAAAAAAAAATTCTATGTAAAGGTGATAAACTTAAACAAATTATTCAAAACATTATTCATATAAATTAAATAAAAATCTGTATTAACACAGGAAATGTGGACTCTACAATAATTTTCATTTATTGAATATATTTATTTGGATTATTTTTATATTTTGCAATAAGGAACTGTATAGGACCATGTATTGCTATATGGGCTAAGGGTGGAGGGTGGGGAGGGAATGGGTTCACAGATTCATATACACCAATATGGGTAATAAAATTAAATGAATAAAAATCCATAGCAGCGGGTTCCATAAAACCCATGTGAGCATATCTTGCCCGCAAGTGAAACCGAGCAGATGTTTCACCTGGCTCAACACACAGGTACGAAAAGTGATTTAAACTCATCTTGTGCTACTATGTTTTTCCCATTTAATAAATCTAGTGAATGTCACTAGGGGGATAAAACAGTTAGCTAAAAATTGTACAAGATATCATATATTGCTGTCCATTCTTTTCTTTGTGTTATGTGCAAGCTGACCGGGCAAATGACCAGGCAACCTATCAAAAATAGGAGACTTAAATTTCTGCTCGTAACCAATACATGTTAGAGCGGGTGGAATGAAACATAGGAATTTAAAACTTTTTTTTTTTCAGTAATAATTTACAGACCAATCATAGCTGAGGCGGCAGATGTTTGGCTGGTCATTTTGAAAGGTGCTGTATCCATTGAACTGGAGCCCAAAGGAAGATTGTAACCGTGGAGCAAAATGTCATCTCTTTCCATAGAGCCCATTGGACTCTCAGGTCGACCTGCTTGAGGGGTGGACAGCAGCGATGCTGCTATACTTTGATATATAGCACTGTTACTGATCAGGCCCTCTTCACGGGATGAGCACATCATGCTGGGCATCTCAGAAGCCCTGATGAGACTAGAAGTGATGAGAGGCGATGATGAACACATTAAGCGGCTGGACCTGCTTCCTGCATGCAGGCTTCGCCTGTGCCGACACTTAACATGTCGCTGCAGGCGGAAAGCAAAATGTGTTTTGAAGGAACATGACGGACAGCGCAGCAAGCTTTTCTCAAAAGAGTTTTTAATTGGAAGATCCCTGCGATTGCGTATGTGAACATGGCGTACATGAGCCATGCCCCATGATCGGGTAGGGAAGACAGCAGAACAGTGTGAACATTTGAAGCTGTTGGGACACTCTGGCTCTGTATTTTTGGCTTCAGTGAGGGCATCCTCAATGCAGTAACCATGCACAGCTACCATGTGTGCTGAAAGGGCATTTGGTGATGGAAGAACCTGGTGGCACTGCCGACATGTGAATGATGGTGAGTACTCAAAGGCTATGCCGTGTTCTGACCTTTCATGATCAAGCAATGAAGACAGCCAGTGAGTATCGAAGCCACAGCGTTGACACACATACTTCTTGAGCCGACTGTAACTAGAGATTTTTTTGCGGAGCCCCCACCTGGCGCTGAGCTCAGCCACTTTGTTATTATTTCCTTCACCGTTGGGCAGACTTGGCTCCTCTGTAGGAATCTGAGGCTCATCTGTGTCCAGAGTTACCCGAGCATTATGCTCCTGTATGAGATGTAGTTGGACAGACAGCTCTGCAGGAAAGTCAATGCCACATACCTGACATGTATATATGGGTGGAGCATTCTTTGATCTCATGTCAAGCGCTTCATTGTCCGAATGGTCTTTGATGATGTGATCTTTCAGCCATTTCATGTTTTTGAATCTGCGGCTGCAGATGTTGCAGGTCTCGCTCTGTTCGATGTTGTTATTCAGGGGCGGATCATCTTTATTTTTGCTGAAGTTTACCGGCTTCAGGTGAAATTTTTCACCAAGCCGATCAGTTGGGGGAAGCGGAATCATCTGAGGTAGGCAGAAAGGATCAAGCCTGAAAGGTTTCTCCTCTGGTTGGCTAGAGGCATTAGAGGCAGAGTCGCAGTCAGAGGCATTAGGTGACCCACTCATGCTGACATTAGGTGAGAGGCCACTGGGGATAATGCCGTGCTTCTTCTGCTTGTGTGTGCGCAAGAAATACTTGTTGCATACTTCTTTGTTGCAGATGTCACAAATCACCCGCGAGGAGTTTACCGGTTCCTTCCACCGCCAAGAGCTCGAGCTCTTCTCGCTTCCCTCCTTGCTTTTATTGATGAAATTATTATTAATTGGTGTAATATTTGGTTTCACTGGAGAAATAGAATTAATTATTTTCTCACCTTCGGAACTCTTGGAGCTCACCGAAGACGTTGTGTCACTTTTGATACCATGAATATTTTGTTTATGTGTCCTGAGAAAATATTTACTGCAGAACTCCTTTTTGCAAATATCGCAGTAAGCTTCAGGGTCAAAATTCAATTTAATACTGTCCTCTCCTGGCATTTTCCCAAGCGGCGGCAAACCAAAAAAGTTCAAATCCATGTGCCTGGCTTGGCTATGTGACCTTGCAAACAGTTCGTGGTTGATTGAATCCGTGATGAAAGAAGGCATGTCTCTGTAACTCTTGAACTCCCTGCCAAAGTCTACAAAAGGCGGCATGTCCTTAAAGTCCAGCTTAGGGGGAAGGTACGGAAGCATGTGTGGTTTTCCCATATGATGCGGTGCCAGGTTCATTGGTTGTTGGTTGGATGAGGATAAGCTGCCTGATGATGTGGGGGTCTTTGGCTTGGGACATGGTGGAGGCAAGGGAGAGTTAAGAGGCTTTCTGTCATATTTGTCGTTGATGCTCGGGTCAATGCCATGAGCATTGAACTTGTGAAGACGTAAGAAATAGTGGTTCGTCATTTCCTTATTGCAAATGTCACAGACCGCACTCTCCTTCATTGGAGGTGGTGGGCCAAAGCTGGAGGCATAGCAGACTGCTGAAGCGTCGGCCGCCATGCGCATGAGAGATTCATTCATACTCCGCACAGGGTCCTCTTTTGAAACCTCACCGTTTTCTATGAGCGTCGGATCAATGAGCTCATTCAGGCCATGGTCATGTATTCGATGGATCCTGTACAGGTACTTGTTGTTAAAGTCTTTGTTGCAAATGTTGCAGATCAAAAAGCTGTGTTCAACACTTGATGAACGTTCCATTGGAGACCGCGTCCTCATGAAAGGATGTTCATTCTTATTGTGATTCGATAATGGAGGAGGGCTGGGCCTGCTGCCATCATTCCTGTTCTCCTTCACCAGGGACAGCGCTTTATCCCTGGGAGCGTCCTCGCTCTGCCGGCGTATGCCGTGCTTACTCTCTTTGTGGATTTGAAGATAGTACTCATTGCAGAACTCTTTGGCACAGATGTTGCAGTGGACGCCACCATCTTGCAAGGAAGGGTTAGGCCTGTTGGGTGAGTGACCAGAGTTGTTCATGTGTAATGAAGACGAGGAAGGGGGCATGGATGGTGGGAGAAGAATGGAATCAGACAGGGGTGTCATGTTCATGGATTGGGATATCATGGGGTGAGGTGGTGGAGGCAGCTGTTGACCAGGCATCAAAGAGCCAGCTGGAATGAGGGCAACAGGGGGGAGACTGTAAGGGTTGATCACCATGACACCAGGGGGCATGTTTGCAAGGTTGGGCATGGGTGGCATGCTGGGAAGTCCATGCATGCCTGGAAGATTGTGCATTCCAGCAAGGCTAGCTAATGGCTGTGGAAGCATCATGTGATTAGAGGAAGTCATGGGCATGTCAAGCAAGCTGGACCTTGACCTCTTGTTAGTTGTTGCTGGTGGGTTGTCTGGGATGATCCCATGCACATCCTGCTTGTGTTTCTTGAGGTAATACTTGTTGCAAAAATGTTTCTGGCATATGTGGCAGTAATCCTCCATGCTTGGGTCATTGGCCGGGGGCTGTGCGTTGCTGGACGTAGGTCCACTTTTGATGCTGTTTGTGATGCTGGTGAGAATGGACGTAGCGCTGGAAGTGATAGAGCAGGAGTTGTTGCTGCAAGGGGTGGAACTGCTCACACTGCATTCACCTGCACTGCTGCTTTTGTTTGATGGTGGTTTAGGGCTTTCTAAAGTTGGCAGAGGCATAGGAAACATTGGCAGAGAATCCAGAGCTTTCATGTTAGGAGAACTCTCTGATCTCTTGGGTGGCATTATAGAATCAAGTTTAAACGACCAGGGTAGGAGAGGTTCACTGCATGGTGCTTTCATAGAATCCATTTTGAAGTTGAAAGAAGCAAGTGGATCTTGGGGCATCATGAGCCCAGGGAAAGGTAGAGGTACGCTGGTTGCTGGAGGTGAATTCTCCTCGTAGATACCATGTTTGTTGGCCTTGTGTGTTTTAAGGAAATATTTATTACAAAACTCCCTATCACATAACTCACAGTATGCATCCATGTGAAAGATTCTGTCAGATTTGACTGGCTCCCCATTTATTTCTTTGAAGGTTTTTGGAGTTGTGGGTGGGGGCGGCTGGAGTTGATCAGGAAATGGAAACCCACTGTCTTCTGAGTTTGAGACCATATGCTGTATTTTTAAAGATAGTGGCTGTGGTGTATGTCGCGGTGAGGGTGGCAGACTGTTAACTGGAGGTGCAGGGGATGGTTCAGTCTCAAGATGACCATTGGTCAGTGGAACATCAGAACTCTCTAACAACTCTCTTCCCAGCCTGTGGTAAGCAGTTGGAAAATCCTCTGGGGGCCCTTCAAATCTCTGTTTCTTTATTTCAGGCCCATGGACCTCCACCCTGTGCATGTTGAGCTCCCTCGGATTGGTGAATGTGTCGGAACAGTCTGGGCAACCCAAGATAGAAACATGCATGTCTAAAGGAAGCTCATAATCAGAACTCTGACCATTGCTCATGGGTTGTGGAGACTGCGATCTGTCATCCATATCATTATCCTTATCTAGGTCATCTTGCTGCTGGCCCATGTGCGCCTCTTGGTCTGGGTGCATCGGCATGATCAGAGGGTCGAGGTCACGTGACCCGGGTGCGACTTTGTTGGGGTTAGTTTGCTTGCGTCTGCTGGACTTCATGGCAGGAACCTCTCGAGTTGGTCTCTACAATTCCTGTCTGCACATTTGTATATTCTTTAACTATAAAAACCAAAATTTGATGATTTACTCATTAGCGCCTGACCTCATTTCTCATTGGTGAACTCTTCTTGGTGCAACCTGTAGATGATTTAAAAAATAAAATAATCTGTAATCTTATTTTTGAACATTTAATGTTATAAACTTAACTAGTTTTTAATTCACGAGAGAGGATATAAAATAATATAAGAAGGAAGTTTTTCAACAGACAACAGTCCTTCCTGCCATCCAATGCAGAACCCCCCACCCCGAGAAAAAAAATATTTAAAAATTTCAACCTTCATTCAAAAGTTTGGTTGTGATTGACAGAAATTTCTTTGATTCTGAAAATAGAACAAAGCTCAAAGACTTTGCATTTGTTTGAGGTTGAACTCTGCTATGCCACCCAGTTCATCAGGCTTCACAGCAGGAACCATTTCTCATAAATTTTAACATCCTTTTTTTCCCCCTTTTTCATTTAGATGGAGATCAGTCAAACACTAACTGGACTTTTATACCCTGAATTGGAGTCATAAATAAAAACTCCCGGGACTCAAAAACGTCCTACTTAAATCTGGTGGAATGTGTAAAAATTAATTTCCCAATTTTTATTTAATTGGTATTTTAAAACTTTTGTGTGATGTCTTAACCTTACCAGTCTAAAAATATAAGCCACATTTATTAACTTCTGCCTGACGCAACCCAAAATGACTTTCCAAACTGAAACAGATCGGCCCGTGGGTGAAATGAAAAGTTTCAACATGAAGTAACGCTATCAGCCCCCCCCCCCCCCCCCCCCCACCACCACCCCCCCCCACAAGCGTTCCAAGTAACCAACACCAGCGTGGACTTTATCTCCAGTTACAAACCCTGGGAATAAAGTCATTTATTTCATAGTTTGCCAAATTGTTTTTGTTTTTCTTTCTTTTCTTTTATTTAAAAGAAAAAAAGAAAAGAAAGAAAAAGCATCTCCTAAATGCCATATGGTTTATGGCGAGAAGAGAGGCTGGGGGAGATTGTGTTAAGTGGGTCTGGGACGGATGGAGACGGGGGCCCGCAAATAGGAATCGAGTTGGAGTGGGGCGTGCTAAATGGTGGGGGAGGGGGGCGGCGGCGTGACTACCATCTGGTCAGATAACAAACTGAAGGAGAAAATAAAATTCCTTTTCATTATTTTTTAAAACAACACGTTTTGTATAGATTTTCCTCATGCATATTATGAATTAAAATTGACCAAAAAAATTAATCAACTTCTTGTAATGAAACACTGTTCCTAGACAGTGAAACGTACAGGTGCCTACTTAAATGAACTTAAATATTTAGGGAGGTCGATTATTCCGTTTTAATTATAATAACACTGTTAGGGATTTCGCTGGTTTAAAGGAATAAATGCGACTCTTTTTAATACTAATTTATGTTGCCTGAAATGTATTAAATATGCTAAAGTTTAGTTGGAAAAAGAAAGGGGTGGGGGTCAGGTTTCTTCTTTTTTTTTCTTCTTCTTTCTCTTTATTAAATGTATATATTAATGAAGCCACACACAAAAGACATATTTCATGGTCCACTTCTTACACATCACCTCAACATAATATAATAAGCCACTGCTGCCCCATTCCCTCGCCCCCCTGGATGCGGTGGAAATGTGCGAGGGTGGGTTTGGTGGTGATGTGGGGGGGGGGGGACGACAAACAATTAAAACTGAAATCTTATCTTGGGAAACAAAATGTGAGGTACTGTAAAAGTCAGGGCAGACAAGGCCCTTCTAATGGCGAGTCGCCACTCGCCAAGCCAAAGCTCTCCACGTATTGATTGCTTTAATGAACAAACACCGGGCCTCGTACACTTTAAAATTTTCTGTTTAATCAGCTGACAAAATACAGGCATAAAGTTTCTTTGGGGGGAACAAAACTGTCATTATTCTTTCCTCGCCAGGGCCGCCGTATGGGGGTCTGTATGTGTTGGTGGATACGTCTATCCATGGATGATAATATTAGTGATTTAAATACATTTCAAACCACTTTTGTTGTTGCAAGAGGCAGTTTTTTTTTTTTTTTTAAGGGAGGGTGTTTTAATAGGAGGATGATGGTGTAAGGGTTAAGTTAGGTAGTTTAAGTGTTTAGGTTGTAGTAAAGGTGAAGTTTGGTGGTTAATGGGTTAAGGTTGGTGGTTAATGGGTTAAGGTTGGTGGTCATAGGTAAAAAATTTTAAATCTTTTTTTGTTGTGGAAAGAGGCTGTTTTTTTTTTTTTTTTAAGGGAGGGTGTTTTAATAGGAGGATGATGGTGTAAGGGTTAAGTTAGGTAGTTTAAGTGTTTAGGTTGTAGTAAAGGTTAAGTTTGGTGGTTAATGGGTTAAGGTTGGTGGTTAATGGGTTAAGGTTGGTGGTCATAGGTTAAGGTTGGTGGTCAGAGGTTAAGGTTGGTGGTCAAAGGTTAAGGTTGGTGGTCAGAGGGTTACTGTTGTGGTTAAGGTCACAGTTAAGGATAGCTTATCCTCGGATAGGTGATAGTGGGATTTTGAAAGGGCTTGGTTATGGTATTGGATAAAGTTAGGTAGCCGCGGGTACAACTGGATGGGTATTGGATATAACATTTGGTAATCGCTGGTACAAATGGATGGGTATTGGATTATCAAGTTTGGTAGTTGGTACAACTTGTTAAACTTGATGGATATTGGATTATAAAGTTAGGTAGCCGCGGTTACAACTGCATGGGTATTGGATTATCAAGTTTGGTTGACGTGGTAACAACTGGATGGGTATTGGATTATCAAGTTGGGTAGTCATGGGTACAACTGGATGGGTATTGGATTATCAAGTTGGGTAGTCACGGTTACAACTGGATGGGTATTGGATTATCAAGTTTGGTAGTGGGTACAACTGGATGGGTATTGGATTATCAAGTTGGGTAGTCGTGGGTACAACTGGATGGGTATTGGATTATCAAGTTGGGTAGTCGTGGGTACAACTGGATGGGTATTGGATTATCAAGTTTGGTAGTCGGTACAACTGGATGGGTATTGGATTATCAAGTTGGGTAGTCGGGGTTACAACTGGATGAGTATTGAATAAAGTTTGGTAGTGGCAGGTACAACTCTGTAAGGTATTGGATTATAACGTTTTGTAGTGGCGGGTACAACTTTATGGGTATTGGGATAACGTTTGGTAGTCGCGGGTACAACTCTGTAAGGCGTAAGGTATTGGATCATCAAGTTTGGTAGTCGCGGGTACAACTCTGTAAGGCGTAAGGTATTGGATCATCAAGTTTGGTAGTCGCGGGTACGACTCGGTTGGCATCGGATGAAGGCTGGTGGTGTGTAAGGTTTTGAAGCTTGGCGTGGCGAGAGAATAATATGGACTGAGAAGATGCCAGAGTTTGTCGAACTGTGGGTAGAAGTTGGGAAGGTTTCGCTGAAAAAAATGGGGCATTCGTGTCAAAGACTATCAATAACTGTAAGCTTGGGTCGTTTAACTTAGTTTGGAGATTGGTTCATTGGAGAAGGCTTTCCGTTGGTTCCAAAAGTGTTCGATCTGTTTCATAAATGTTGTAAGAAAGCATACGTTGGTTGTACTTGGCACCATAAAAGTGTAAACCACGATAAGAACATTTTATGATGGGCCTATTTGCCATAAGCCCGAAATAATCTCTCGCTGTCAAAATTTTACAATAACTTGAAGAGAAAAAATATTAGGCATTTTAGTTTTAAAAGTCAATTTCCTGTCTATTTCACGTGGGAAGATCCTAGCTCAGCTGATATAACACGTTTATTTTTAAGGGTCTTAAAACCGGTGTAAAGTCGTAAAAAGTTAACTTTGTTAAACCGGGTGTATCAATAAAAATGTCACGAGTAGAGGTTTATGGGAGACGGGAGTTAAAAGGATTTCTTTTTTCATAACCCAGAGAATTAGGCGAGATACGGCAAGAGCAGAAGAGCAGCATCAGAAATGGACGTTATAAACAGGAGCAGAAGTGCAGCATCAGAAATGGAAGTTATAAACAGGAGCAGAAGTGCAGCATCAGAAATGGAAGTCGTAAACAGGAGCAGGAGTGCAGCATCAAAAATGAAAGGTATTAATTTTGATGTAAAACCCGGTAAAGTTTTTTACCCTGTTTCTGACGGGGGGGGGGGGGCGGTACTTGGGGGGGGGGGACTTGTAATGACATTACTGGACCTGACACTTTACTTTAAAAATGAAAGGTATTAATTTTGATGTAAAACCCGGTAAAGTTTTTTACCCTGTTTCTGACGGGGGGGGGGGCGGTACTTGGGTGGGGGTGACTTTTAATGACATTACTGGACCTGACACTTTACTTTAAGGGTATGAGTGTTTGAAGTTAGGAAAGGCGAAATTCTTGAAATTTAATCAACAGTGAAGCCGCTGGCTAAGACTCAACCCTCACTCATCTACCCACAACCCTTTTATTCTCCCCCCCCCTCTCTCTCTCTCTCTCCCTCTCTCCACCTCTCTCCTTTTCCCTCTGAGTTAAAACTGTTGTGTTGAAATTCAGTTCTAGAACTCATGGTGTGACACATAAAACACACAAGAGACTATGCCTTTTTATAAGTCAACAAATACATTAGGAATACAGATTGGGCAGGGGGGGGACATTTTGTGGGGGTCACCATTTTTAAAAAAAACCGGTTGATTGTTTTTCTTACTTGTACGTCTTCTTATTTAAATCATAAAATAGTTTACAAGTTTTGAGTTTTTTCAAAGTGGTCACCATTACAATTATTTGCCATTATCTCTTCCTTTGGTCCATGGGCTGCGTGGGGTCACCAAGATTTATG